TTTCCTTTTTTGACATTCAACTCATAACCTATTCAAGTAACTCAATTTCTATACAACCAAAATTTATTGCATTACACCTCTGTTTATTTTAACAGAAAAAAAATCCATATACAAAGAAGATAAGTCTAAAAATTACTCCCAAAGACCAATTTTTAAGTTAGAAACAACCAAAGTTGTCAATTCAACCAAAAACGAAAGTACCAACAACCAAAAGCGAAAGTACCAACCTTACTACTAAAGACAAGAAAGAATTTTATTTTCTGCTGACAGTATTCAAAAGTGATTTAACTTTTTATATCTCCAATGGAAGACAATTGAAGGGGAAGAATTTTCACATGGTTGGTGTTCAACGCTATATAAATTAGTATTACTTAAGATCCATGGAGCTGTGAAAGCCACAAATGAGCTACTTTGGAGAAGATCTGACCCACAATTTGCTGAAAATTATGCAACTATATAAACACTCAAGAGATTTCTGTATGAGTTCTGCATATAAACAAAAATAGAACCATAGTTCTCATTTCTTTCTATTTTCTTTTATTTTTAAATGCATTATCTCTACTTCTTTTTGCAAGTACCTTTCATTCCATAGACACCCCTAAAGATCCAATCAACTACTTAAGCATAAACCATTGCCTACTAGACTGTCATCAACACCAAGTCCCCCAAATAATAAATGAACTTTTTATTAACTGTGGTATCATTAACATTACAATGAGGGATTGTTTAAAAACAAGTTGTACTGCTCTTGCTCAAGAGCTCAAAGAAAATGCTTCTCAGTTCCTTTATTTTTCCTTGAGGGTAACCACAGGGGTTGCATTAAATCTTTTAAAATATGTTGACAGTTGAATAAGTGCTGCTGTTGCTCTGGTGACATTTTATGCTTTTTAATTGTCATTAATGAAGTTGACTGATACTTTCTTAAAAGTGCTTTACGTGTTCTAGTAATTTTATGACAAAAAGAGGAACAAAACCGTCTGCAAATTAGCCTTGATCCACTTCTCATATGGAATTTGCACTGGAGACAATGGGAGAATCTGCATGGGAAATATCTGCTTGACCAGATATTTTAGGTAGGAATGCATGAAATGTTCCAAGTGAATTGTGAAATTATCACTTGGTTGTGCATCTCCATATAAATTCAAAGTACAAAGAAGATTTGTTTTGAGTGTGTCTTCAAAAATAAGTAGCGGAGCTGCTTTGAATGATTCAGAACCTGACGTTAAAACAGTATGGTCTGACAACTTATGGCTGCAGTCAACCCCAAAACGTAAATGGGAGTCGGAATGAAATCAAAGTCTGACACTATCCTGGAGTCTAATAACTCTTTTCTTATTTTGATAATACTCCCACTGATATGAGAAATGTTTTGCTCCTGTAAAGGCTGAAGGAAGCAGCTCTCAATTATCTGTTTAGGAACATGCAGTAATAAGGAGGAATGTTTGTAGCTTGAGAAACAGCAGGCACTATACACGATAATTCATAAACAGATAAGGTAAGTCTTGTGCTATGGAGAGAAAAATTGTGTTAGGTGATTTAAGTAGGTTAAGGAAGACCTATTCCAGGGACAAGAAGCTAGAAGAGATAAGAGGAGGAGGGATGGTATACTAACAGTGAGATGTATTGAGTCCTTTGCTTTCCCCATCCCAGTTTTCCTTGCTCTTGCATGCCCCATGGTAACACAACAGATGATTCCCCAGCACTACTGCAGCTGCTGCACCGCAGGCTTCACATCTTTGCAATTTCAGAATCAGAAAAATTTAGAGCCATCTTTCTTTCTTCAACTGCAGCAGTTCTTCAAGTGCTGATGTTATACAAATACTGATGGATTGAGGCAGCAGCTGAACAGGGCAATGAGGTCATGACAAATCATTCCAAGCAAACTGAGAACCCTTTTGCCTGATTTTCCACAGGCCTCATGCCTTGTATACCCATGTATTACCTGTGCACAGCATGCAGTTCAGCTCCAGCCTGCCCCTTCTCTTTCACCCCAGTAAATGGCTATACAAGGTGCAAAAGGGCAGGTGTCGGGGTTCGACATGGCACTACAATTTTCAAGACATTCAGGGTGCAGACAGCAGTAAGTTCCAAACTCACATCTGACGCACATTTAACAATCTCAGCTAAGTCATGAACTACATTTTAATTAGACAAGGGGCCAGGCTTTTGATTTCAAAAATAGAAATTAGGGTTGCAGTCCTTCATCCGTTGAAGTTAATTGCAAAATCCCTATTATCAGGCTCTTGAGGTATTACCCAGGCTTACTTTTTAATTACATTTGATTCTTAATGAAGTAGATGGCAAAGAGAAAAGCAGCCTATGATTCAAATGATTCTCATTTTTATCTTTCCTGATGAACAACAGAATAGGTCAAGATACTTGCTGGGTTTTCCCATGAGAAATGCCGCGACGTGAATAAACTCCATTGATTTGATGCTGATGGAGCAGGTTAGCTTTGAAAAGCATCACTCATTTTCTCCTCCTGTATACATTCTACCCCAAAACTTATGCAATGTAATTATAGACACCAAGCCAAATCCAATTCAGAACTTGAAAAATATCATGTAAGTATCTTAAGCTTGAATGACTTGTCTTTATTCTCTAATGTCATTTAAAACATAAGGAGTCCTAATTATAGTTTGATTTTCAAATGAAGCATTTTAAAAGAGTGACAATTCCCCATAAAAACTGACAACTTCTCAGGGCACTGAGACAGCCAATAACTTGGTATTTCCACATGATTGAAAAACAATAATCTGTGAAGCAGCTTATACAGAAAGAGTATTTTATGACGCTTGGCTAAAGAACAATATGAAGTTTCACCTTTTTCTCTTGTATCCATACCCACGTAAATAAATGAAAATTTATAGAACAGAAGCTCATACTACAAGTGGGACCTTGTTAAACAGAGCAACCTGAAAACTCTTTTCACATCATGAAAGCTGTTTCTGACCATCTGGAAATCAAGCTTAACAATAAAATTACTATTTTTATATTATAGAAAAATCTCAGCCCTTTATTACAGACATTACTTGTTATATTATGAAATGTATAATCTCCTATTTTTATGACTTTGAAAGATCAATTAAAAATTAAGGACTTAAAAACATATTTCTTTTTTAAAAAGGTTTGAATGTTGAAATAAGTATTAGAGAAAGTAAAATGTCCAATTTAAGATAATAAGATAGTACTGTAAGACTCTGGTGACATTTACCTTCCCCTACCTTTCACTGAGGCTAGAGACTCAGTTTTACCCATGCAAAGCATTACATTAAAAAAATCAAGGAGAGGTCACAGGACGTGCAACTGCTGTACATGATACTGCAGAAGCCAGCTGTAATTGAGGCACCCAGCAAGGGGGAACAACCTCCTTTCAGAGAGGGGGAAAAGAAACTAAGTTTTCAATTTATTCAGCCATTAATTTTTCTAATTCCCTAAGTTTGGGGGATTTTGTGCTATGGGTGGTTCTGTATTTCAAACTTGCAGGACACCTGTGATGAGCCAAGGAAGGAAACAGAAATCTGATTCAACCATTTGGCTCCATTATGATTCTTCCCTGTTCACAAGGTTGAATACCACAAAACCTGAACAGTTCCTACTTCATGCCCATATCAGAGATCAGGAGAAGCTGAAATTATTTATGAGGCCACCATGAACATGATGTGGAAATCTGAATCAGCCTGCTCTGCATAATTGTGACAAACCTGCAGGTGCAACATGCAACCACAAACTTGCTTCTGTGCTGAGCTGCACTAAATCAGCATCACCCACATTGTCAGCATTACTTAAGCAAGGAAAAGAAATTCCCACCTACTTCTTCATTTGGCAGTTCCCTCTTGGAATGCAATTTCTACTATTGCTTTTACTGGAAGTGTGCCAATCTACACCTATTAACTACTGTGCTTATAAGCTTAGGGCCCTATACAATATCTTCTAATTGTTCCGTTAGCTGTTTAGTATTTGTGGAAGGTCTAACTTGGCAGGTCTCCTTACAGATGTGTCTCAGACTTACAAGTACACAGTTATGATCACTGTGGTCAACAGCAGTTTGAGATACTTACTATCTATGGTTATTTTTGAAGTGATTCTCTAAAGACTCTTTAGAGCATGCAGAATACTCCGATGGCAAGACATGGCAGTTGCAGGGCATCCTTGCAATCACAAACCATATGAACCATACAAACCATTCTAATGCAGGCAGCACTGATGCAAGCCCTCAAGCCTCAGATTATCATAGAAAAGGTAGAGGGCTGAAAAAAGCCAATGCCCCCATAGTTAGTTACAAAAGATTTCTGCTTAAATTCGACAGAAACTCTAAGCCTGAAGAACACACACATTCTTAAGTGGTGGCTAAAGTCAACATTTAAGACATGAATTCATATCATAAGACTAAGCTACGTTACTATTAAGGTAATACCGGGGTAATTGCAGCGATAAGGTACTACTCATCACTTCAGAAATCAAACCACCTTTCTTTGGAAAATATTAATTTTGATTGGTTGTTTAAAGTAAGCAGGCATCAGGGATTGCTATGCGCTATATACATCTGACATGGAACAAAGTGCACAAGGAATGATATTTTGTCAAAGGACTCCATCCTTGGCTAACTATCTTGGTAAACCTTCAGGCAGCTTGATTTTCACAGTCTCTGTCGAGAACTGGAGGAAAGCAACTCAAATCATTAATAACTTCCACTACATGCCACGTGCTAACAACTTTCCCAAACAACATTACGGATAAGAAATAAAACTGTTACTTGATAGTAAGTCGTAGTAACTCTCAAAATAAAGAGAATGCATTATTAATTCTGTTCCTATAGCAATAGCAGCAATGAACTTAATGTATAAAACAAATGTAGGCTGACAAGTACCTCAGCAACACAAACCAAAAATAATAATTGTGGACACAGATCAAAAAGCTGCTTTCTACTCAGCTACTGAATTTAAGAAGAAAATGTTGAATCATAACATTTGCTTAAGAATGTTTATCTTCTTTCTTACCATTGAATGTTAAAAACACCCTTGCTTGAGGCTGGGAAGATCCTTTTACACTGCTAAAGTAAATAAATATCCCAATCAACACGTGCAGTGCAAGAAACGCCATCTCTTCAGATTTGCAACTTAATATCCAAGAAATGAAACCTGAAAGACAGAGATATCACATTACTGTTGTTTTACATTTTTGCAGAGCAAAACCAAAACTACAGGAAGATCTGCATTAGAAAGCTCTTCCAGCTGAAGCCATAATGTATGATAACGTGAAGGAGGTACAGCACTTCTGCATTTTCTTACTGTATCTGAAAATGGTTTTACTCAGCAGTCTTCTGTGCTGTCACAAAAGGAGCTCTCTGCCTGTTAGTATGAACCAACAAAGCCTGATTTTTGGCTAAGAGAGACTACAGCATTAGATTCAGTTTATTTAAATAAGGACAATTCCACCTGCTGGAGAAATAATTATACTAAATGTCAAGGCAGAGTAAAGCAAGGACAGGAGATAGAGTTTCACGAATAAAAAGCTGGCTGGTATTTTTAGATGCCTCTCCTTACTTTACATCATATTTGATTTCCCTCTTATGGTTTGAGTTTTGAGGGTTTTTTTGGAGAGGGGGAGAGAGATGGAGTGGTGTGGGTTGCTAGCTGGTTAGTTTTTTTTTTTCTTTTAATATTTGAAATCAAAGGTCTTTGGAAATGAATGACCTTTAAGTTTTGCTAAATTCTCTAATAGCCCTTTAGATCATTTTCTAAGATGAAATCCTGTCTATGTACGTCACTAATTTCAAAACCATTGAAACCAAAAGTATTTCAACATGCCTGAAACTGTTAGCCCAAAAAGCAAATGTTGACTAACTCCTTTCAGGATACTTGCCTACTCTCTACAGAGCACTAAGAACACCCAGTGTTGGACAGTGCATTACACGTGATACTTCTACTACTTTTCCTGTGCATCTGCTGAATCTATACTCATTTTATAGCGTTTAGATGCTGAGAAGACTGAGCTCCTCAGAGGATCAGAAAACACCTCAAAGCAAATCTGCACCTCTTAGCTCATGAAGGGCTTGAACTCCCTGGAGTCAGTGGCACCTTCCTATCAATTCCAATGGACTTTGGACCAGACAAAAAAAAAAAAAAAAACAGCAGACATTATAAGCCCATTTTACTTCCCTACTTAGGTATATATTTTTTTATTTTTTTTTCCTTTTTGACATCAACAACCCTTTACTAGACACTACTTATTGGTTAACCAGGTGATACATTTGATTCTATGGTAATTGAAAGCACTTTGAAGAATAAAACCCCTACAGCTAGAAGAAAGCATTATGGGCTATACATTTATTTCATTAGCAATTTTGTTGCCTGTGCAATCATCTTAACACTCCTTTACCTCGACTCTGCTCCAGCATTACAATCCCTTCAGTGGAAGCCATTATTTCTACATGCTTGCTCATTTGGTCCCCCTGAGATTCACACCTGTCCCAAAAGAACCGGCTGTAACCTCCACAGCATAGCAGGAACCAGCTGTCAGGCACGGATGACTTTAGGTCAGCACCAATTTGGGCTGGATCTACACCACTGACTTAGCCTTAAAAGCCCCATATCTCATTACTACCTCTGTCACTCCCTGTCCACTCACTGTAAATCGTTTTGAAAGGCTTCCCTCTGCATGAGAGCCTCATGCAAGTTGCAAGAGGAGGGAGGTGGGGGTGGAAAGCACGTGAGAGAGCCCAGACTCTAAACTCTCCTTCACAATTTTCTCTGGAGTACTGAGAAATGCATGAAGATCAAGTAAAGCTACAACTCTGCTAATTGACAAAAACAGCAGTGTCAGAAATTTGCCAGCTACATATCTGGTCTACAGGAGAAATACACCCATTCTGACTCAGTTCCAAATTATGTCTAAGGGTCTGTTAACGAATAAAATGATAGTTACAGAGTTTTCGCCAAGAATAATTTTTAAACAGGCTGCACAAACTCTAGTATTAATGCTACTTTGTGGGCTTTAAATTTAAAGCCTTGAGACTAGCCCATGGGATATCATTTAACTTGCCCCTCTTCTAAGAGAGAGTTGTCATTAAATCCTGATAAAATTTCTTTGTCAGGCCAAAATAAATAGCCAATCATACAGAACATGTGATTTAACAGATGCAATGGGATTAGTATTTTACAGTAGTAGCACAATGCTTTCTTTGCAACAGAGATTAAAAGTCAAAGAGGAACAAGTGTGTGGCTTTATTTCTTCATTTACATGATATTGTAGGAAACAACAAAAAAAAAAAAAACTTTTCAGCACTCTTCCCCTCCCACTCTCATGCAGCCTGCCAATTCTAGTGCAATCAGTTACAGGAGTGAGACATTGCTACATTTCATTGCTCAAACTGCAGATCTTCACCATTAACACAGAATTGACAGGCAAATATGGGATGCAAATTCTGAGCTGTATGGTTCCTACCCAGCTGTTAAGACACATAAATAATAAATGCACATGGTGCCAAAAAGGTACCTCAGGGTGTCTGACATGCGAGTTACCTAATGGAAATGGGTTTAATCTCAGAGGTTTACATACCTGGTAACCAAACACAAACTTGTTGCAGGTTTGACTCTTGGTTTGGGCTTATATCCCAGCTCTGAATTTATCTCAGCAAGTCATGATACTATATTCAGCATGTCCTGTGCACATGATCTCTGCTGACAACACACATACCCAAAACCTTGCAAGTACTTTTCAAGAATCTTTTAGGACAAAGAAAAGGCACTGTCTAATTACACTTCTACTCCTACACCCTATTCCAACTGTAAACAAGCTGGCAAACTGCTACTAAAGTAAGGTGAAGTTTTCCTGCCATGGAGGTCATGTTCAGCATGCTGTACTGCCTTTGGAAAGTATTATACAGCTTCACTGTGAAGTGCTGTGCAGGTGTCATGCACTACAGGCTGAGTCCTCCACTTAAAACCTGTAAGGAAAATCATTCAGCAGAATAAAGGAAAGAAAGAAAGGGGGGGAAACAAAACACCCGCCAAACACAGACTATGCTAATCTGGAAAATATTGCTTTAACTATCTGTGAACAGCAGGAAAATAAAAACCATCAAACACATTTCACGTCTATTATATTAAAGAAAGAGAACTTTCCATCATGCTTACCCAGCTATCGGAGGAACCAGTAATACAGACTGCTGTCTGGTTTCTATCAGTTTATGGGCTCCACTCCTACTACCAGAACATTTTAATTCCAAACCTCTGGCTCATTGTGAAAAAAAGGAAAAAAAAAAAAAAAAAAAAAGTCTCTTTTCGCGGTGGTTGCAAAGTGACTGCCGGCTCCTCTGTGAAATAGTCCTTACGCCTAGACTCCTAAGGCACCGGGAGCGCTTCCCGCCCGCTCTGTTACGCACCTAGGCGGGAGTGGGCAGTGCCCGGGCGGTGCCGAGGACTCGCCTGCCCA